TAGATGACAACACTGCTAGCTAGCAACCTCCGGTAGCATGTTCTACATGGTTAATTCGGATGTACCAAAAACAAAATGTCCGCTGTTACGACTTGGGAGAGCGTTTTATATTCCAGCCAAATTTAACACAGCGCCGTAAGCATTAAGTAGAAAAGGCAAACAATTTATTTCAATGTGCACTGACAAGAAAAATACTCAAAAAGTGCAACCGATACAAGTAAGAATCCTCCGAACCGTTCCCAGTACAAGAAAGAATCCTCCTAAAAAATCTAAAAACCTCCAAATCTTTGAATTCTTATTAGTGTTCTAAAACTCTATTTATATACTATCTATTAGCTCTAATTAGCTATTATACAAATACTATTATGAAGTTACACAACGAAAAAGTATTATGTAAATTTTGTTACACCAGATAAAAGTAGGAAAATCCAATGGATTTTTCAACACATACATATCTCTAGTTTTATAACTTTTTGATTACAAGTCTACTAACAGGTAATTATCATAATAGGTAAACATCAATAAATTACTTTCAACGGATAAGGTGTTTCTTGTCATGTGCCAAAATTGGTTCCAAGTAAGATTCCATATATTTCCTAGTAGCATGATCACCTACAGCATATCTACCGGAAATTTGATGCCAGTAGAAGGAACCAGCAAGCCAATCTATTAATGCTTCAGAGTACATATTAACAGTTTTATTCATTTCTGTACCAAAATCTGATAAATTAGAGATATTTTCTCGTATTTGAATAACTCGCTGATTTGCCAATTTCACTGCATCATTAACAGCTTCTTGCAAGGAATAATTAGATAAATTTTTCAAAACAAAAATTAGATTATCTGTATCACCGACCAAAAGTTCTTTTCTTAGGGAATAAATATCGTTTATAAAGCAAGCGTGATCATTGCAATTGTCCATAAGGCATTGAAAGCTCGGATCATCGTATACTTTATCTGGAAGTTCAATATTGAGCGTGATCTCGATAAAATTGAACGTAACTTGTACAGCACCTGTGTTTCTTCTTAACTTTGCGTAATCATCAACAGATTCATGAGTTTTCATGGAGACACAATTCCGTGAATGTATGTAGTACGAACTAAAGTAGTTGGCGAGGGATGTACGAAATCTTAGTTGCCAATTTCTTCCAGTTATACTTTTCATTTTTGACCATAAGTCCCATAGTGCGAGAGCAGCTGGACACTTGGCGGAATCTGGGCAATGATCGCTATCTATAACCAATAAGAAACCATCCAAAATGCTTTTTAGTTTTTCAGGTTTATCGATTAGGTCATTTTTGTTATCGATTTGATCATCGAGGAGGAATAGCCAGCTCATGAAATTGGTAACCAGACAAAGTCTATCAAACGGAGCGTTTGGATAAACATAACAGCCAAATACACCAAACTTAGAACTTTTAAAACGTTCAATTGCTTCTTTTTTCGTCACCAATCCGAATTGCATTACCCATTCAAGGCAATGTTTTTCAACTTCCGATTTATATTGATTATTTGAACGTAAAGGGAAGTCACATTCAAGAGATTTTGGAATTTCGAAATTCTCTGCGGGGTTTAGTTGATAACATGGTTTTTTAGATT